GTGACACTGGTAAATCAGGTGATTTTAAGGACAAAGAGCAACAGCAGTAATTTCTAGAGTCTGAAATACTAGTTTTGCTGTCTTAAGAGGAAGGAAACACCTGGGCAGTAACTATTGCTTAAAGCTTGCTATCACACACCTAGATGATTTATTCTATGTTGGGCTTAGATAAAACTGCAATCCTTTATTTTGATGTCAAATTACACTCAAAGCAAATTATTTCATATTATGAAAGATTGTACTTTTTTAAGATTGTACTTTTGTTAAAATTAAATATATTTATTCATAATAGGCTGCCAAATAAATAGAATTACATTTCCTTCATTTTCAACAATATGTGATAGCCTAATAATTACCAAAAATTTTTAAGTGACTGATGTTACAATTACAGAATAATCGAATAACGGTTGCACAATTTTAAAAAGTGAATTCCCAAGGAAAAGCATGCATGATTAGACAGGGAGATGCTAGCTCAGAGCCAAAAGAATGTACTGATTGAATCAGATTAATCTTGTCAAAGATGGGTAGATTTCTGTACTTGATATAAAGAAAAAAATAATTTAAAAAAAGCTCAACAAGCCGGGCGTACTGGCGCACACCTATAATTGCAGCACTCAGGAGACTGGGGCAAGAAGATTGCTGTGAGTTCAAGACCAGTCTGAGTTACAAAGCTCAAGGAAGGCCAGCCTGAACTGCACAGTGAGACCCTGTCAAAAAAAAAAAAAAAAAAAAAAAAAAAACTCAAAAATTTCATTACTAGTTTGAAGCCACCCACGTCTATAACTTTAAGAACCAAGAGTGGGTACTGATCAGTTTCTAGTAGGCCAGGGATGCTACCTGGTTACCTAGCAACCCCCAGAGCTGCTTTAGTAACTAACTCCAGGGAAAAGTATCTCTGCAGAGAGGGCTCCAGAGCACAGCTGGGGACCTACTGGCCCTGTCTGCTTGTGTCTTTGTTCTTAGGTGACTGATTCCTTTACTGTATGAGACTTTTTAGTTGTTTCATGGGCATAGCCCACTTTCTTGTTTTGGGGGGAAAAAATGGCAAGCAAATAAAATTTCGTATAACTAACATAATACAAGAGTTTCAAGAAGGGTCAACCAGCCTTCTCAAATCTTCAGTATCTGCCAGGTATGGTGGGTGGCACGTGACTGGAATCCCAGAACTGGGGAGTCTGAGGCAGGAGGATCATCATGAGTTCAAGGCTAGCCTGATCTATAGAGATACATACCCTGTCCCCTCCCACAAAAAATTATGGCATCTGTGAAATAAGCACCGGATCAGGATATAACATTTATCTCAATGACACTGAGAATTAAGAATAAAGAAGGAGAAATTGAGAGAGAAACAGAGAGACAGACAGACAGACAGACAGACAGACAGACAGACACCGAAAATACACACAGGAACAAGAACCAATTACCTTCTTTGGCACAGCTTGGTTTCAACCCAAATATACAACCGAGGATTGTCGTTAACACACATACTGACAAAACCTGTATGGAGAAAAAAAAAGGAAATCAGGCAGTGTCACTATTCCTTCTCTGTGTCAAAATGTCTTTATTTCTCTTAAATATTTCCTAACTCGCTCTTGCTACTCTGTTTCCAGATATGGCTGTGGTCACAGGGATGAGCTCAATTTTTCAATATGTCAAGCAACACACTTGTGATTTATATTCTGTTCTGGGTATTTTACTTTAATAAGAAGCTTCTTAAATGTCAGTAGATAACTGTAGACCAAAGTAAGTGTAATGAAGAACACCGCCCCCCATGACAGAAACCAACACCGCTTTTTCAGGCATGCAGAAGGCAAGGGTCCTGGTGTCCTAAAGGTTCCCACTGAGCTTTCAAGAGAAGCCCAGGGAGCCCAGGTGACAGAGTGTGACACGGTTGCTGCTACTGCCAGGACCCCTGACAGAATGATGCCTGCACCCACGA